ATTAATTCGCCGGCCGCCGGAAAAATTCGTCGGTGGCCGGATTTCGTCGCCGGAATTAAAATGACCGGTAAAAACAGGTCATTTACCATTTTTTGGGCTTCATTGACCAAATTTAGCATGTTTGAGTGTTTAATTGACATTTTTTAAAGTTTAGGAGGTTAATTGACCTTTAGGGTAATGTTTAGGGGTCTATTTGACCATTTTCTCAAAAAATAATGATATGTTCCATTATAATCGTTACCTATTATTATTGATTGTATTAGTAATTTAAATCATTAAATTATAATAAATATATTAGTAGATTAATATTATAATTTAATTATATCATAAATTAATTTTTTCAAGAAAAAAATTAATAATAAAGACACCTATTACATCAAAGAGTCTGTACATTAAAATAAACAAGTAACAATAGTCTTCAGAACAGTTTTGATGATAATGTCTTTTATGGCTTTACACTAAAAACAAATGACTATTTGTGAATTTTAAAAAATAAATAAATAAAAAAAGCAAAGGGACAAGAGTCAAGAATAAAACACTAAATTAGCCGGAAAATATGGGGAAAAACAACAAAATTTGGCTTGACAAAATAAGGGGAATGCAAATTTTTAATCTTTTATTTTTAACATTTTATAGTTACCAACAATTTTTTTTTTTCCATGCAACAATTCTGCTTGACATCATACAGTTATAGTGATGTTAGTTGGTAACCATTTTATGTTGAAAGCAGGAAAAAATGTAAATAAAGATTCCCAAAATAGTAATCATGATATTTGATTATTGTATCATTGATCCCTGCTTCCCAGAACTAACACAAACTAGGAGTTATTGACCTATGGAAAATTTTTAGTCTTCATCTTGAAAACGTACGATTGCAATTATCAATAAGATAATTATAACTCTTGAATGACCGATGTGTGTGTATATATATATATATATATATATATATATATATATATATATAGGCTTCGAATCTGGTGCAACCCCTATACTAGATGAGATCATGAGATCTCATGATATCAGTTGATTCATTTTTCATGAATGATTGAGATTATAAGAGATTGTGAAAGTAATTAAGGATATATTAAAAATCAAAAGGATTAAATAGTAATTTTAGATATATGTCTAATTATGGATATAATTCAATTGGAATCTTAAGCATTATATTATGGAGATTATGAATGGAAACTGATATTTTAAATTATTAGGGATGCTATCAATGGTAATAATTAATTATATTTTGTACATCTGAAATTTTAAATTATGGAGAATTTTACGATAGTGTGTGCTTGAGTGTGGAATGGTGTGTGCGTTTTATATTTTGTCATGGTGTACACCTCCTATTACATAAAATCGCACACGTCATTCCACACTCGCGCACACACCACCGTAAAATTTCCCACAATTTAAAAAAAAAAAAAAAAAAAAAAAACACAACAAGCCCAATACTAATCACTAGTACAAAAACAGTCATTCGCGTCCAAAGTTGAGGCTCATTCGCGTCCAAAGTAGCTGGGACGCAGCTGGCGGGGACGCTGATTGTATATACAATCAGCGTCCGAAGCTACTTTGGACGCGAAAAACGATTAATCGCGTCCGAAGTTGAAGAACTTCGGACGCGATTAATCTCATTACACTGACTTTGCGCGTCCAAAGTTGGTCAACTTCGGACGCGCAAAGTCTGTAAATCGCGTCCAAAGTTCTTCGACTTTGGACGCGATTAATCATCTTCTTGTGATTAAAATGATTATTCGCGTCCAAAGTTGAAGAACTTTGGACGCGAATTGTAGTATTTTTTTTTTATTTTATAATAATTTGTTAATAATTCCAGTTTTTTTCCTGTACAGAAAATATTATGTTCATCCACAACATGCACTCACAACCACTACATACCACTTCAACACTTTCAACTAATAAAGTTCAATACATCATTACGCAAACACTTTAGCCCTACTAAATTAAACTCCAATACATTCAATTCACAACACTTCAAAGTTTTCAATACATAATTGCCAACACTTCAAAGTTTTCAACACATTTAAACTACACTACTTCAACACTTATGTAATAAGCTAAACTAGATAAGTACCAACAATTCATAGTTCAAAAATTTATATGCATTCTTCGGTAAAATATTTAGACCAAATCTCACGAACCTCATCAATTTGCGCTTCTGAATAAGGCTTTCTATTAAAGAATAATTCCTACAAAAATTTAAAATAATCAAGTAATTAGTTTAACCATTACTAAAGTGTAATTTAAAACTATTTACTTTTAATAAATTTTACATACCATATCTAAATCATCAGAATCCCAACATTGAGTGCATATTTCATACATGAATCTCATCACATAATACCCGCACTCCACACCACCCGGTTGTTGAGGACACTAAAAAATATGTGTATATATTAATATGTTAAACAATAAAAATATTAATATGAAATATGAAAGATATATATACCTCAATGTGAACCCAATCAACGTTGTTTTTAGGTCTTCTCCCTCCTAAAGTTTCAACCGATCGAAATGCCCTATAATATACAATCATAAATAATTTATAAACAATAGTGGTTAATAATTCTCAAAATATAAAATATATATATATCTGTGTGTACTTACACATTCAATGTGGCCTTAATCGCAAACTCGCGATCACTTAATGCAATGGAGTCTAATACATAGACTTTTCTTAATCGAACAGAAATAACTAGAAGCATCCAATGATTCCTAAGGCATTTAAATAAATATGTTAAGTGTTATTCACAAATAATGCAATTAAGTTAAATAAATAATTAAAAATATAAATTTAGTTTTCTTACTTTTCATGATATGGAGCTAAAATGAAGTGTCGATTCGTCTGTTCAACCATGGCATTCACAAGATATTTTGTGACCTTATCAATATCTGCAAGTACAGAGGCAGCACAAATAGTCCTTGGGCAGAGGAATCCAATTGTATGAACTCCAATTTTGGAGCACATCCGACTAAGACATCTACAACATATATATAGATAATTAATAAAAATGAACGACTAAAGACAAGTTTTTAAATATAAAAACATTATAAAAAATACTTACATTATGAATATTTGTAATATGGTCACATCAAGCCATCGCATCGTCAACAAGTCTTTAATATCTTGAAACAGCACGTGAATGAAATCCACATCTTGATGATGGAAGATTGCCTCATCTAGATCCACGTTAATGTAATCTAAATCGAAAGGCGGGTTCTTAATAAGTCTTACCATTCTCTTAGATTCATCTCCCAATTGCTGCAGTGTATCATCATCAACAAGAAGTGGTCGTAATTGGACAGCAGATTGATCACCACTTTCAAAATTCATCATTCGGGTTTGTTTGGATTTTCTTATGAATCAAAAGTAAAAGACATAATAACAATTAGATCGAATATCAAATATTCAAAATATTAAAGATATTCAATATTACCTTAAGTTTGTTGACTTGATCAATAGAATGACAACTGCTCCGAGTTGGTGTGCCAACTTTTGGACTTGCTTGTGCATTCTTCATCAAATATTCCAGTTGGGATTGCATCAAATCAAACTTGGGCTGCATATCTTCCATTGTTTCTTTTCTAATCTTTTCAGCCACTTTGTCATATATTCTCTTCTCTATAATCTTCTCCATATCACTAACTGAAACAAGCCCAGCTGAATTTCCACGACTTATGCTCTTCGGTTTACCAAACACATCCCGAATATTGGAGTACACTCCAACACCTCTCACATAGCCACCGTGCTCATTGGTGCCAAGAACTGTTGTCAATACATCATTTTGCCTTTTGGGCTGGAATGAGCCTTGACTTATCTCTTCACACTTCTCAACCTATATTTCAACACAAAAAAAGATTTAAAATTTACATGTTAGCTAGTAATCTCGTCAATAATATATATATTTAAAGTATTTGTATTACTTACAATTTTATCCAACACTCCCTTCGTTTTTTCATTGGGAATGTAATAACTTCCATCTTCAGATTTTTTAGATCACGCTCGAACCCAATCCAAACTATGATAGTAGATGATATGGTCGAGGTAATAGCCGCACAAGAAGATTGTGAAGACAATGGGTCGCACATCAACCACTCAGACTGCTTTCCAACATAGCCCGTAGACCCTAAATAGTGAGGATGCACATTTCGCGCTTGCAACTCCCTATACTTTTGACTGTTGGCCTAAAAATAAAAGTTATTATTTAATAATATGTTAATAATAACCATGTTACATGATTAATAAGGATGTAAAGTATGTAATGTACCTTGGCAGCTTCACTTTCATGCGTGGTTACAAATTGCTCCCATTTTTTTTCATCCATGAACTTATATAACTCACAGGGAGAGCTATATTTTTCGTTCGGTTTGTTGATGAAGTCACGCACCAATCTTGTTTTGAAATCTTTCCAACGTATCCGTGCATGGACCAAAATATGACTTCTTCTTGACTCAGGGAGATTAAACTCTTTCTGAAAAATAACAATAAAATGAGAAATAATTAGGCCTTTATTGACATTAACATATATAAACTAATGAACTCAAAACTAAAATGAAATAATGATCAATATATAAATTAAATTATTGACTATTACCTTAAGTTCATCCCAGACTGCATCTTTAACCGCAGTTGGAACAAGACGCCAGTGTGGAATGTTTATGTCTATGTGAGTACGAACCATAAGGCCAAGGTAATTTGAGTACTTCCTTGCATTTGGCCCACAATGCCTATTCTTCTCATCAAACTCAATTACCTTAGACTCATCCTCTGGTCTCTTCTTTAAGATTTTACTGCAAGTTGTAGCTCTTCTTGCTTTACGCACTTTGTTCTCTGTTCCCTTTGAAGATTCCTCCACCAACGGATCTGTGTGATCGTCAGCCATGTATATATATACCTGCACATGCATAAGATAAATATGTTATAAAGAACATCTTATAAAATATAACCATGTTATTTGAATAATAATAAGATTACATTATAGAAATTATACTGTCGGGTGGTCAATCCACAACCCTTCTTCATGATCAGTACGCATGTAATTAGTATCAATGTTATCTTCACATAAAGTCACATGTTGAATACCAATAGAAAATGGTGGGGTTTCATCAAATTGGTCATATTCCTCTTCATCAACAACATCACCAACACCAACAATACTTCTTTTGCCTTGTAAGACAATTGACCACTTACTATCAATAGGATCAGAAACATAGAAGACTTGTTTAGCTTGAGATGCAAGTATAAACGGTTCATCATGATATCCAAGCCGACCAAAATCAACTAAGGTAAAACCCAAATCATCTACACGGACACCCCGCCTATTATCAACCCAAGAACATCGGAATAGAGGAATCCTAAACACCTTATAATCAAGTTCCCAGATTTCATCAATGACTCCATAGTATGACATAGTAGCATCTACCGGGTTAGTATCTTTAGCACTAGAATACTCTGTTGATTGTGCTACTAATGTCACTCCACTATTTTGCACTACACTTTTTTTATCTTGACATTTTGTGTAAAACGTATACCCATTAATATCATATCCCTCATAAGTGCTCACAACAAATCTAGGGCCAAACGATAACCATCTAATGGTTTCAGTGATATTATTTGGCACTTGAGATAACTCTTGCATCACTGTATCTTTGAACCATGTGATAAATGTAGAATTGTGTTCTTTTGTCACCCACATTTCACCTTTAGAAGGATTTTGTTGCCTTATAATAGACAAGTGTTGTTCCAAATATGGATGAACCTCAGAAAGCTGCTGCAGTACGAGATGATGTGCTTGATTTCTGATTATTTGACTTGGGACATGTGTTTTAAACCCAATGGTACCTTTTCCTGTGAGTCTTCCCTCATGACGTGATTTAGAAACACCAATGGACTGAACATTAGCCAAATAATCAGTACAGAACTCAATCACTTCTTCAGCACCATAAGCTTCAATTATACTCCCCTCTGGCCGATATCGATTTCTCACATATCCTTTCAAAATTCCCATGTATCTCTCAAATGGATACATATACCTCAAGAATACAGGACCACACATTTTAATTTCCCACACCAAGTGAACTGTTAAATGCACCATAACATCAAAAAATGATGGAGGGAAATACATTTCAAACTGGCATAAAGTTACTACCACATCAGCTTGCAAAGAATCCAACACCTCAGGATCAACAACTTTACTACTAATGACATTGAAAAAGTAGCAAAGCTTTGTAATTGCTTGTCTAACATGGTTAGGTAATATGCCTCTAATAGCAATAGGTAACATATGTTGCATTAGCACATGGCAATCATGTGATTTCATACCAACCAATTTAAGGTCCTTCATTGAAACAAGCTTTTTAATGTTAGATGAATAGCCAGAAGGAACCTTGACACCATTTAGACAGCTACAAAAACTTGTTTTTTCCTTTTTAGACAGAGTATAACAAGCTGGAGGTAAGTATGCCCTCTTTCCAGATTCTTGTGCTGCTAATTGAGTCCTTATCCCCAAGTCTACCATATCTTTTCTAGCTTTAATACCATCTTTCGTCTTACCTTGAATATTCAACAATGTCCCGATAATGCTATCACAAATATTTTTCTCCACATGCATTACATCAAGACAATGTCGAACAGATAAGTGCTCCCAATATGGTAAATCCCACAATATAGACCTCTTTTTCCAAATACCCTTTTGACTTGTTTTTGAAGTTTTTCCCCACACATTATCAATGTTTTTCACTCGATCATAAACAACATCCCCTGATAATGGTAAGCGAGCAACTCCAGTCTCAGATTTTCCATTGAAAGCTTTTTTCCTCTTTCGATAAGGATGGTCAATAGGTAAAAAGGTTCGATGACTCATGAACACATTTTTCCTACTGTTGTTCAACCAAAGATCAACTGTTTCATCTTCACAAACAGGGCATGCCTTAGCCCCTTTAGTAGTATACCCTGACAAGTTACCATATGCTGGGAAGTCATTGATTGTGCAGAACAGCATGGCTCGTAAAGTGAAGTTGGTTTGACTATGAGCATCAAATACTATCACACCTACATTCCACAACATCTTTAAATCTTCAATAAGCGGTGCCAAGTACACATCTATGTCGTTTCCTGGTTGTTTAGGACCAAATATTAGCAATGATAACATGATGTACTTGCGCTTCATACACAACCACGGAGGAAGATTGTAAACTGTTAAGAGAACTGGCCAAGTGCTATGGCGACTGCTCATGTTACCATGAGGGTTCATTCCATCCGTGCATAGTCCAAGCCTAAGATTTCGATTTTCAGCACCGAAATCAGGAAACTTCTTATTAATGTTCTTCCACTGAGGAGAATCGGCAGGATGTCTCAACTTTCCATCTTCTTTTCTCCCACTAGCATGCCATTGCAAATTCTTCGCATCCTTTGCATTTGCAAACAAACGTTTGAATCTTGGAATCACGTAGATACCACAACAACTTCGCTGGAGGACCTTTCTTCTGCTCACATGCATCATCGAGCCCTTTTCGTTTATAACGCGATGCTCCACACTTTGGACACACATGCAAGTCTTTGTTTTGATTCCAATACAAAATACAGTCGTTTGGACATGCATGGATCCTTTCAATCTCCATACTCAACGGACATAACATTTTCTTTGCCTCATAAGTTGAACTAGGAAGTTCATTCTCATTTGGAAGCATGCCCTTTAAAAGCTCTAATAACTCCGTGAAACTCTTATCACTCCACCTATGTTTTGCTTTTACGGTATACAATTTAAGCACTGCTGATAACTTTGTAAATTTACTACATCCAGAAAACAAAGGTTTTCCAGAACTCTCAAAAAAACTTTCAAACTCTTGAGGCATTTGATTCAAATCTCCTTGCATATCCCGCATCAATTCATCTAGCCGATCATTGTCTCCATCATTTCTAACATTATCTTCATTACTTTGATCTTTCTCTTGATTTTTTCTACATTCTCTTTGATTTGTACTGTTACTAGTAAGGACAGTTTCACCATGCCATATCCACCGGTCATATCCTATCTTAAAACCACGACGTATCAAATGTTCCTTAATTTGTTCAGAACTACGAAACTTTTTTAGATTTCTACAATCATAACAAGGACACACTATATAATTTTCACCAATTTTACTTGCATATTCCTCGGCAATTTTAACAAACTCTTGAACCCCATGAACATATTCAAGTGTATTGCGTTTTTTATACATCCAACTCCGATCCATATCTCCTATATATTGTCACACAACATTTACGAAATGATAAATGAGTTAGTTTCTTAAGTTATAACTTAAAGGTTCAAATTAAAGCTTTAACTAAATTTATCAACAATACCTAACATATACAATAATACACAACGAATTTGTCAACAATGTCTAACTTATACAATAATACACAACAAATTTGTATATACAATAAACAAATAATACAATAATGATTTACGAATACATCAAATGCAATGTAGGTAATTTTCTTCCACCAATGCTACAATAACCTTTGATCCACAACTACTAAAATAACTTTTAATATTTTAACCAAGTAACAACATTATCCAAATTAAAACATTTATAAAATTATACGGTAAAGGTGCAATCTCTATAAACAAATAATACAAATAACACAACAAATTTGTATATACAACAATAACAAATAATACACAATAAACAACAATAACAAATAATTCACAATAAACAACAATAACAAATATACAATAATACACAATAAACAACAATAACAAATAACAAAAAAAAAATTAAAATAATTAATGATTTTCGAAAAAAAAAAAAAATTAACAAACTCACCGTACCTCGATCTGCCGACGTTCGTAGCAGCGACGGTGGTGGCGGGGGATGTAGCAGCGGTGACCGGCGTCCGGCGTTCGTAGCAGCGGCGGTGGTGGCGTGCGATGTAGCAGCGGCGACCGGCGGTGGTTGGCGTGGTAGCAGCAGCGGAGACCGGCGGTGCTTGGCGTGCGAGCAGCAGCGACGATCGGCGGACGATGAACGGCGGGTGTGAGCAGCACCGGCGAGCGAATTGAAGGACGGAGACCGGACGGAGGACGGAGAGCGGATGGAGGAAGGAAACGGAGAGGTCTGATTTGGGGGGTTAGGGCGGAGAGCGGGCTGAACTGGATTTGGGGGTAGATTAGAAAATTAATTCGCGTCCAAAGTTGCCAATTTTGGACGCGAATTATATCCGCATTAAGTCATTCGCGTCCAAAGTTGGCAACTTTGGACGCGAACTTTGGTCTCATTAAATTATTCGCGTCCAAAGTTCGAAACTTTGGACGCGATTTATTTAAAAAAAAAAAAATATAGTGGCAATTTAATTACAAAATTGCCACCGCACTACACATTCGGCGTCCAAAGTTGTAACTTTGGACGCGATTTATACGATCTTATTGATATTTTTTATACTAGTGTATCTACTACGCATTGATTATCTACTCGAAATTCAAAAGTCGATACCCAAATTAGATTCGTATATTTTTGTTTTCTTTTGGATACGTTCCGCACAAGCCTGAAACTAGTAACACACTGCACAAACCAAAATGTACATGCCTGTATCACGAAACGCACATACCAAAATGCATAATTTTATGAAAAAACCAGCACGCCATGGTGTACGAGCCCTGTTACAGTAAAACGCACACACCATTCCACACTCACGCACACACCACCGTAAAATTGCCCATAATTTAAAATTACAAATGTACAAAATACAGGGTTGTAAAAATCGATCTAGGCGCCTCTAGACCATGGCGATTTCCCCCCTAGGCGCCCGCCTAGGCGTCCGCCTAGCGCCTAACTCGGCCGATTTGGCCGCCTAGTGTCTAAGTTAGTCGAGTTAACTCGTCCATTTTGATCGAGTTAACCCGATCGGCTCGGCCTATTTTTTTTATTATATATGTGTGTCTGTGTGTCTGTGTGTGCATGCGCGCGCGCATATATATATATATAATATGACATATATACACTCGTAGACTAGTTTGATACTTTGAATCTTTGGATGATTGAAGTATTTGAGTATTTCATATTTAAGTATTTTTAATTTTTAATATTGTTTTATGTTTTTTTTTTTTTTGAAAACCATTATTTTGATGTTATGACTTATGAATTATCATTAATTCATTTATTTGGATGTGTTATTTGATTAAATGTTGAAAACAACCTCATTAAAATTGTCAAACTGCAAGTCTACCACTGTTTTTTTGGCTCCCGCCTAACACCGCCTAGATTCCGCCTAAGCGCTAGGCGCTGTCCGGGCGCCCGACTAGCGCCTACTTCAACCATGACAAAATATAATTAAATATTACTATTGATAGGTTCCCTAATATTCTGGTAAGATTATATTTTAAATATAATCAAAATTAAAAACCAAAATACAATTACTCTTTCATCCTTGTCTTTCAAATCTATCCTTATTTAATTGTTGTTTGACTTTCAATCCTATGCATCAATTAAAACTTTATCAATGGATGAGATGGGATCTCATGATCTCACATGATTGGGGGTTTTTCACCAGGGGGTTATGGGCTTTGCGTCGGCGCTGTGGTTAGGATTTGGGGGTGGGGGTGCGGGTGTGATTGAGAGTGTTGGTCGATTTATGGGTTAGGGTTTGGGGGGTTTGCAGTCGGGGTGTTTTTTGTCGGATGGGTCGAAGGGGGTGGTGTTTGAGGCGGTGCATCATGGTAGTTAGGGTTGCTGTTTTTCTCTTGGTTTAGGGAATTTATGGTTGCTGATGTGGTCTCTTTCTATTGATATTTTGTTTGTCATGAATTGTTTAATATTGAGCATCGTTATTCTGATAGATTGCTTTATATTTACAAATGTATTGTATTTGCATACAGGTATATCACTGTGTGCATTTTGCTGTCATTCCTAAACAGTGTTGATTTGAGTTTAATTACAATTTAATTTCTGTATTCATTTGGAAATAAATGTGTAGTAGTCTTTTTTTATCCTCAATCTGACCATGATTTGGATGCTATCAGTCGTCATAATCGTCGAAAGTTGTGTAATTTTTTTAGCACCAGTTTGTGCGTATTACTTTACCAGCGTGTGCATATACTTGTACCATGTTTATTCTGATGTAATTGGAATTTAATTTTCATTGTTACTTTGGAAATAACCTTGAAATTATTTTAACCACACTTTTGTGCATATAACCGTTCAAGAGTGTGCATGTTCCTGTGTTGCTTAACATCGTTTATTTTAATGTTTTTATATTTTATTTGCAGTATTACTTTTGGAAATAATCGTGCAATTGACTGTTTAATCTATAACTAATCTGGTAGTTTGTACTAGTTTCTAGTGGTAGCTTACAGTGACGATGTTACTGGTTCTAACTATCATGAGTTGGCTACTCTCGATCTTTATAACATTCATGAGATGCAAAATTTCTAAACAACAAACGTATGTGCGCATAAAGCATCCAGCGTGTGCATTCTGCTGTTTATAGGGGGTTGCATTTTATATTACGTGCATTTTTCTGATATGTGCAAATTATATTTGGAATTATTTGGCTGCCTCATTTTGATTCCATTTTCTGTGTGGGGGAGTTTGTAAGGGGGGGTTTTGTCATTTGTTTTTGGCGGGTGGCTTGTTCGTCCCTAATTCATGTGTGTTTATATTCAGTTTTTCTTTTTTCCTTCTCGTGTGTTTTAACTGTTTTGTATCCAATCATTGTAGACTATTGGTGAAATTTATGCGCCAAAGACTGACGTATTAGCTGGAGCATTCGAGGACATGGTCCAGTTTTTGTGTTTGGGCTTGTGCATCGCGATTGTTTTTTTCTGTTTTTTGCATTTAAGTGGGTGCGCTATAGGTCTTTGGTTGGTGCGTATGTCCTTTTCTATCAATTATGTGCTGTCGTGTAGTTGTATTTTTTTATGTAATGATTTTTTTTTTTTTGTTTTGGTTTCTGTGATTTACTTTTGCAATTCCCAGGTGATTTTGCGGTTGATCCAGTAGTCGCTGTTTTGGAAGAGCCGGTATTGCTGTCGATGTGGTGGTACCTTTGCCACGGACCGATGCTGTCGAACGTCCGGCTCAGCCCGCACAGCCAGCCCCGGTGTTGGATGGCTTAGATGTTGAGCCTAATGAAGTTGATGAGGCATTGTTCCCCCCTTTGAAGATTCGCGTTTCTCCGAAGCATCTGGTTAAACCGATGAAGCGGTTTAATGATTCCAAAGGATAATGTTTTTAGTGGCATCGTTTGTGTGTTCCTGGATGTTTGTTTGGTTTACGAATTTTCACGTCAACATTGCGTGTTACATATGTATCCCATATTTCACTTTCAATTTGTGGTTTTTTTTCCCCCTCTGGTTTTTTAACGATCGTGCGAACATGTGTGCCAGGGGAAAACTAACCCAAAACAGAAGAATAACGCCCAAACTGTAACAGCAATATGCACTCACTTTGATCCTCTAATGCACAAACCGATAAATGCATAAGCCTCAGCGTTATGCACAAACTGGTCGCATATTATGCACTTAACGATGCACAGAGTTGCATACGCACCATATTATTATTTGATAATAACTCTTGCTTACAGTGTAATGCATTCACCTATTCACAACTACGCACAAAGCATAATTTCACATACAAAACAATTGTCACGTCGTGCAAACATGAGTCCCAGCACAAAACTAACCTAAATCCAATAAATAAAACCCAACAAGTACTATGCAGTAACTTGTATTCACTAATGCACCTGATGACACATGCCTTTATTCAGCCAAAACGATATGCACCGACTAGTCACCTGCTACGCACATAGCAGTACAGGGAGATGCATATGCACCATTTTAGTATTTATTAACAGCTCTTGTTTACCGTATAATGAATCCACTTAGTCGTTAACCGTCATTTATTCACTCCAAGATTACACAACACCAACAGTACGTAAGGGGGAAAAAAGACATACGCACATGCCTAGACACGCATATGCACCTACCTGTGCTGCTACAAGCCATTAGTGAAGTGTGTTGCTTGGTTCACCCTCTACTCCCACCCGTTCATCAGCACTGCCAATCTTCTCCACGCGTTTTTTATTTTAACAGGTGACTACAAAATAGTTTTAACAATCAATGGTTTCAATTACCATTCATAATATCCCTAATTTAATGCTTAAGATTCCTTTAATATTATATCCATAATTAAACACATAAATACAATTACAATTTAATCCTTTTGTTTTCTATATATCCTTAATTAATTTATAAATCTCTTATAATCTTAGCCATCCAAGGAAAATTAATCAATGGATATCATGAGAGCTCATGAACTCATGTATCATAGGGGTGCACCGGATTCGAAGCCTATATATATATATATATATATATAGGGTCAGGTTCCTGTGAGGTCAGGTCTTCCCGTGCGGTTAGTGCGGCATACACCATTAGGTATGCATAAATGCACCATACAGTGTTCGAGAATACATACATGTGATGTAAACCGCATGCACTAGAAAGTCTCCGTGTCATGGGTTCAACCAAAAGGATGTTGGCAAAAATTGAACTCATAACCTTTAGGCCACAAGAATCATGCTCCACCAACTTGGTCAGCTCTTTTAAGGCCAAACGACGAGTAATTTGATTAAAATGAAAGTCTACTATGCCGATCAACATTAGTGTCGATTGTATTGAATATAAGCCAAAAAAGGTTTTGAAAAAGGGCTTAGGTTAACACAGGGTATGTCCTCACAATACTCAAAACAAATTCAAAGTCTACATATTTACTTTAGGGTTGTACTGAGTACAAGAGATACTAGTGTTGCTCAAAAAAACAGTGGTAGACTTGTAGTTTGACAATTTTAATGAGGTTATTTTCAACATTTAATCAAATAACACATCCAAATAAATGAATTAATGATAATTCATAAGTCATAACATCAAAACAATGGTTTTCAAAAAAAAAAAAAAAACACTAAAACAATATTAAAAATTAAAAATACTTAAATATGAAATACTCAAATATTTCAATCATCCAAAGATTCAAAGTATCAAACTAGTCTACGAGTATATATATGTCATATTATATATATGTATGCGCGCGCGCGCACACACACAGACACACAGACACACATATATAATAAAAAAAATAGGCTGAGCCGATCGGGTTAACTCGATCAAAATGGACGAGTTAACTCGACTAACTTAAACACTAGGCGGACGCCTAGGCGGTCGGTAACCTAGGCGGGCGCCTAGGGGGGAAATCGCCACGGTCTAGAGGTGCCTAGACCGATTTTTACAATCCTGTATTTTGTACATTTGTAATTTTAAATTATGGGCAATTTTACGGTGGTGTGTGCGTGGGTGTGGAATGGTGTGTGCGTTTTACTGCAACAGGGCTCGTACACAGTGGCGGACCCAGGAATATTTTTCAGCGGGGGCAAAATATTAAAGTAAAATTGATAATTAGAAAAAGAAAAATGAAACACTTAAAAAGTATAGCCATAAATAATGTTGGATATAAGAAAATTATAAAACACATCAAAACATTATAAAAATATTCATAACAATATATGAACATAATCAATTTGATAAAATAATTTGAATAAAAGATCCATTATTAATTACACATCTCATCTCATTATTAATATATAAATGAAGATTATATTATTGTGTTGAAGAAATATGCACTATTAATAATTGTGAAAATGTGAAATAATGAACATAATCAATTTGATAAAATAATTTGAATAAAAGATCCATTATAGATTACACATCTCATCTCATTATTAATATATTAATGAAGATTATATTATTGTGTTGAAGCAATATGCACTATTAATAATAGTGAAAATGTGAAATAATGAGAAAAGGTAGTGTTAATAGGAAAAGGAAATGTTGAAAGCAGATAAAAGGGATCGAACCCCGACCTGCATCAAGACCAACCATGCGCTCAGCCATCTATACGAAACTACACTTTGTTAACATCTCTCTATTTTCTAATACTTATACTAAAACTTGTACTATATATACACATATACATACAAGGGTTATATAAGGGGTGGGGGTGGGGTGAGTGGGGGCAGCTGACCCCACTGCCCCCATTGTAGGTCCGCCCCTGCTCGTACACCATGGCGTGCAGGTTTTTTTTCCTAAAATTATGCATTTTGGTATGTGCGTTTCGTGATACAGGCATGTACATTTTGGTTTGTGCAGTGTGTTACTAGTTTCGGGCGTGTGCGGAACGTATCCAAAAGAAAACAAAAATATACGAATCTAATTTGGGTATCGACTTTTGAATTTCGAGTAGATAATCAATGCGTAGTAGATATAGTATTGGGCTTGTTGTGTTTTTTTTTTTTTTTTTTTTTTTTTTTTTTTTTTTTTTAAATTGTGGGGAATTTTACGGTGGTGTGTGCGCGAGTGTGGAATGACGTGTGCGATTTTATGTAATAGGAGGTGTACACCATGACAAAATATAAAACACACACACCATTCCACACTCAAGCACACACTACCGTAAAATTCTCCATAATTTAAAATTTCAGATGTACAAAATATAATTAATTATTACCATTAATAGCGTCCCTAATAATTTAAAATATCAGTTTCCATTCATAATCTCCATAATATAATGCTTAAGATTCCAATTGAATTATATCCATAATTAAACATATATCTACAATTACTATTTAATCCTTTTGATTTTTAATATATCCTTAATTACTTTCACAATCTCTTATAATCTCAACCATTCATGAAAAATGAATCAACCGATATCATGAGATCTCATGATCTCATCTAGTATAGGGATTGCACCAGACAGATTCGAAGCCTATATATATATATATATATATATATATATATATATATATATATATATATATATATGTATAGGGCCAGGTTCCTGTGAGGTCAGGTCTTCCCGTGCAGTTAGTGCGGCATACACCATTAGGTATGTATAAATGCACCATACAGTGTTCGAGAATACATACATGTGATGTAAACCGCATGCACTAGAAAGTCTCCGTGTCATGGGTTCAACCAAAAGGATGTTGGCAAAAATTGACCTCATAACCTTTCTGTGAGGTCAGGTCTTCCCGTGCGGTTAGTGCGGCATACACCATTAGGTATGTATAAATGCACCATACAGTGTTCGAGAATACATACATGTGATGTAAACCGCATGCACTAGAAAGTCTCCGTGTCATGGGTTCAACCAAAAGGATGTTGGCAAAAATTGACCTCATAACCTTTAGGCCACAAGAATCATGCTCCACCAACTTGGTCAGCTCTTTTAAGGCCAAACGACGAGTAATTTGATTAAAATGAAAGTCTACTATGCCGATCAACATTGGTGTCGATTGTATTGAACATAAGCCAAAAAGGTTTTGAAAAAGGGTTTAGGTTAACACAGGGTATGTCCTTACAATACTCAAAACAAATTCAAAGTCTACATATTTACTTTAGGGTTGTACTGAGTACAAGAGATACTAGTATTGCTCAACACTTCAGGATTATAATATGGTTGTAATTTTGAATGATCATAAAAAAGAGTATACAACTCATTCAACCTATTATTTTCTATTAAATACAATTAAGTTTTGTAAAATAATAAAGACTTTGTAATTTTAAAATGTTTAATTAAATTAAATACTATATTATTTAATATATATTGAAAAGTATAAATATTGATGGTTGTATTTAACATGATTTACCATTTTTTTTTCTATGTTATCATTTTCAAGTACATTAATAAAAGTGACTAAAATTCAAGTACGAAAAATAAATTGTACAAATTTTCAATGTCATCAATTTCATTCACAACTCACAAGACCTCTGTTTTTTTGGGACCTACCCTGTATGGCTGTATATGACCTCCCGAGTAGTTTGACAACAACTAATTAGATTTTTTAAAGAACCATTTGTGATATGTTTAGTTAGAAATGCATTTTAGTGGTGAGTTATATTCATTTTAGGAGCCTAAAATGTGTAGCACATGTGTGGAATGAGCATGAATATGATGTTGAAGTGTACACATGAAAAGCTAAGTAAATATGGTTCTCATTAAGATCACATACATGAACCTATTGACTAAAAAGGTCTAAGATTATCAACCCACTATAAACAATTCCTCATTCTAACTTTAATTTGCTAATTCCTAGAAATAAAGGAAGCACTCTTCTTCTTCCAAAAGGTTGAATCCCCAACTCAAGGGCTCATCATCACATCCTGGCCAAATAGAGTATGCCGGAGGATATAAATCACGGTAACTCAATAGCTCAGTAGACAGGGACAAATGCTAATGCGTACAAGGGATCTACTGACTTTGAGCATAATTCTCACACTGCCCCTGCCGAGTTTCGAACATTATTGGTCTCTTCTCTTAAGTATTGTCTACTGAACCAGTGAGCTAAACCCGTGCAAGAAAGCAGTACTCTGTTTGTCTGTCTGTAATAACAAGGGATGGGAAGAAATTAAAAAAAAAAAAAATGTGTGTCTAGTTGGGGTTACATGAACAAGCAAGCACAAGCAGCTCAGGCACTTTTTTCTTGAAAGCTGACTAATTAAATTAAAGATCTAACTCTTCAGAATTTATCCATAGTCCATAAGCTATCATCCAAAAATCCATCCATTATCAAACTGTTTCCTCCTCCTCCTCCAGTTCCAAGCAGATCATAATCAATCACATCTTTGAATTCTCCTGTTTCTGGGAATATTGGTGAAGGGCTAAAACCATCCATGACATGAGAGGCATAATACTGGTGATTACCATTTGGACAAGGCTCAAACTTGGGGTCATTGGATAATGCAGTTTTGGGGCATTCAGAAAACTCCAGGCCTGAATTTATTGTGGTTTGATGGCAATCGGGTGGCACGGGGGCGGGGACCTGCTGGGATTGTGTGTTGAGAATCTCATCAGAGTGTTGAATGGATGAAGCTTGTATTTTTTGGATGAGCCTGGGCATCCAGAAACCCCGAATCAGCTGCTGAAACGCGGCGCTGTTAGAGTCTATCTTCAGATGCCTGGCCTGTTTCTGCACCCTGGTTCTCCAGTAGTTCTTGATCTCATTGTCTGTTCTTCCTGGCAGAAACTGTGCAATTTTTGACCACCTGATCATCATCATCATCATGATCAGAAGCAGCAGATTGTTAATTAGAATCAAACGCTTATCACTACATCAAAAGCTATAACTTGGTACAAAGGCACAACTATATTTCCTTATACCAGACCTATGTGCGGGACCTGACCCTTTACTGACTTCTGCCCAAGGCAGATCCATAGAAAGACGATTATTATGATCAAACGCTTACCACTACACCAAAAGTTAGAACTAGTAACTAGGGCACAACTTTATTTTCGTATACCAGAACCAGGAGCTGGACTTGGTCCTTTAACGGCCTCCGCCCAACACAAATCGATCCAATTTTATGTGTTAATTATGAACAACAACCTAACCTTTCGCCTCATCACGAATAAAACGAAACTAAAAGTTTAAACCGATAGATAATATGTAAGACTATATATATGTATATATCTATATACCTATTGCCCCACTTGGAATGGAGTTCGAGAATCAAGAGCTGTTCTTGAGGGGAGAGGTTTCCGCGCTTAACATCAGGCTTCAAATAATTCAACCATCTCAATCTGCAGCTCTTCCCTGTTCTCCTCAAACCTAAAAACATCAAAATCAAATTAGTTAATTAATTAAACCAATGCAACGTAACAAATTAAAGCATGATGAAATGGCAGGAAACTTAAATTACCAGAACTCTTAGCAAGAAGATTCCATCTGCCTTCGCCATGGCAAGCAATGTAATGAATGAGAAGAGTGTCTTCTTCAGGAGTCCATGGCCCTCTTCTAAGCTCTGTGCTATCCATATCCTCTGCTGTCAAACAACTACTTGTTGAGCTTTTAGATGGAGAAGAAGCCATTGAAGATATACGCTTAGTTAATAGAACAGGAACTGCAACAAATTAAAGGAGGTAGAAAGCATATATACAGGGAGATATATAAGGTCTCCAAGATCGGTCTGCTATTTTACTAGTTAGTTCATCAACTTTTCAAAGGGGGCGAAAAAAGAGACTTTTTTTCCCTTAGCTATATATATAAAAATTAGAAATATTTATAAGGAAAATCATAAATAAAGGAGGGTGTTTAGTAAATAACTGTTAGCTGATTGAGTTAGTGAGTTTGACTACTTGATGACATTAGCTAATTATAGAAAAGTATTTGGTAAATTAACTGTTAGCTAATAACTGATTACCTACAAAATTACTTTATCAAAAAGTTGATTGAAAAAGTTACTTTGAGCAGTTTTTTAAATTTTAGCATTTTGGAACAATAAGTTGTTACAAAAAAACTAATTAATCAAAAACTCATGTTGATGGTTTAACCAAGTCAAACAACTAATAGTGATCAAATCGGTCAAAATTGGTTAACAAGCTAACTATGTTACCAAAGAGGAATCAAAACCATTTTGATTTTTAATTAAAGTAAACATTATGCTCAGATGACACATCTGTGACTCTTCTTGAGAGAAGGTCACATGATTAAACTTCGGTGGTGATGGTATTGACTCGTCGAGCTACAACAGATAGAGAAAGTCTAAAACACATACATTACTTTGTAATAAAGTCAATATTACTCAAAAAAATTAAAACATATACATTATATATCTTGTAATAGAATTAAACTCAAAAAAATTAAAGGGAATGAATTTAAAAAAATTCCAACCATGCCAATTTGCAAAAGCAGAACAGCAGACGTGTTATGACAATTCTACATAGTTTCCCAGTCTTAACCCATAGGAGAATTCCAGAAATTAATAAAAAAATATTGGATGGAATTTTGTTTCCTTTCCACAGACTGACCAGTGATTATTGGTCTTCCAGCTGAGTCTACTTATCCACTGATTCTTGGGCCCACTTTGGTGGCTGCAAACATGACTTTAGAGTTCAGATATGACCAAGCTTAATTAAAGATTCTCAATTATATTATAAATATCTATTAACAACTTTTTATGTGATTTTCATCTTTACTTTATATGAATTTTTATATGAATTTTTAGGAATATGCAAGATGAGTCGGGTCAATATAAAAATACAAGATTTATATTAAAAAATATAATATTAATCGAGAATAAAGTATTTGTTTTTTTTTTTTTAAATGTGAGAATAAAGTATTTGTTACTTATAAGGAAAAATGTAAAATTTTTGAAGAAAAATATAATGCTTTTACATTTTGATTTAAAAGTATTACATATTTCTCAAAAAGTATTACATTTTTTTTAAAAAATAACAAACATTTGATTTCTAATTAATATTATATTTTAATTACAAGTATTACATTCTCATCACGTCCCGACCTATCTCACGGACAAGAGTCAATCAAATTTCTAAGATGTTGTGGTATACCTACTACAACTATATAGTAAAAAAGAGTCCCAATAGTATTATTAAGAACTTTTATAATGTTGAATAACATAAATATTGTATGGTACCTAAAACAACTATGTAAATGTAGCAAATTGTATCTTACTATTGTCACACGTGTTTGTTTATCCGTTATCGTGTTACACATGCGTGTTTCAATCGGGTACAATAAGGCAAGCAATAAGATTAGGATCAAAGAATACGATGAAATTGGGGGAGAAGCTAAGAATCATATGATGTAATGAAGTCTAATATGGAACTACATAATTGAAATGGCTGTGAGATTTTTTTTTCTTTTCCTTTTTTTTGGGAGTATTGTACAATAATGAGACGTGTTTGACCGAACAAAATATACGGTACAGTGATAGCTTTAAAAACGTGGGGTTTTAATTTGGATCAATCTTTTTGGGTTTTCCTAGGTTGCTTGGAGTCTCAAAACTAGTTCTTGCTTGCTTGGTTGTCATACGTTGTCCACTTTGCACAAAATAGACATTACTCACGCCCCCTTTTCATATGTGGTTCCTGCGGCTTCTCTAAACGCTGCGAATCATCCACACCACAGTGGTGATGGACAAGTTTGCTACTGCTTCATCATTTATTATTATTATTATTATTATTATAATTATTTTTGTAGTTTTTATATTGATCTCCTTGTCATTAATTCTCTATTATTAATTCTATAAATGAGTTTTTGACTATAGACATTTATTAATTTTTATCTTCGATTTTCAATTGGAGCACAAATGGTCCAATAATTATTGATATTTACCAACTTTCATACTCGATTTTAAATTTGACCATAAATAGTCACTTGACTATTAGTTTTGTTTCAAATTTGGTCATGTAGTTAAATATCAATTTAGTAAATATTAAATTTAAGGATAGTAACGTAAAATTTTGGTAACTCAATGTATTACATTTAGGGTCACACTTGTGTGAGACAGATCGTGTCAGGTCAATATAAAAATATAATACTTATATTGAAAAATATAATACTAATCGAGAATAAAGTGTATGTACGTTATTTATCAAGGGATCATTTTAGTAGTAAACTTTTCGGAAAAAAATGGTACATGTGATGACCGAAATGGTCCTTTGACTATAGCAAAATTACCAATTTGGTCTCGAGTTAACGGATGTCTAGCTGCAAAACAAACATAGGACCAAATTAGTTAATTAAGATTTTAAAGTTGAGAGACTTATTTGGTCAAAAAAATAATCAAGGATCAAATTGGTAATTTTGCTATAGTCAAGGGACCATTTTGGTAATTAACTCATAAATAAATGTCAATAGTCAATAATCATTTTTCGAGATTCCAGTATTTGGTAAAAAATGAAAAATGTGATCGAGTCAAAGAAGAGTGTCTAGTCAAAGAAAATACCCCCATTTTTCAGAAAATGACTTCCCTTCTTTTTTGGGAAGTCATTTTCTAATTTTTACACTAACACCACACCACCACCATTACCACTACCACCACCAACACCACCACCATCTAATAACTAATCCGCTCAAACTAAGAATGCTAATAAGCAACTTTCACGGGAGTTGAACTTAGAATATTTTATCAACGTTGATACATTTATGTAGGAGCATTGAAGTGGAATGAAGAAATAAAAACTTTAAAAGTGATAGAGGTAGGACCAATAATTCTATTTCAGGAGTGCTTATTCAGTTAATTTGGTTAATAATTGAACTTAATTAATCGAATTTATAAAATGGTTTAATTTAACGATTAACCAAAGAGAAATTCTTATTTCGGAATTAATCGAACCAAAATTCTTTAATTTTTTGCATTGGTTAATCGGTTTATTAACCGAAAGATTTTAGTGCAATTTTAAAAATCTTAAAACTTATAAATAAAACTTTTGAAATTATAGTTTTACAGTACACTACCAAATAGATAAATTGAAAAACTAATCTACCATTATAATTTATGAATTAAAAAAAATACGTACACGCACACGTGCACAAACATACGTACGCACACACTCACATACATACATAATTCAATTAATGATAGGTTATTTTGGTTAACTAACACTCTAAAACCTTTTTTGAATGCTACTGACTTTATTACAATGTAGTATCTGTTCATAACTACGTTCTCAACCTATTGAAGCACAAAGAGCCAATAACGCCTCCACTAAGGCTCGAACTCACAACCTCCCATATGAGAGTCCAACCCGGGTGCCATTAGTTAAAACCTAGTTAATTTATAATCTATTTATATTTACTTGATACACTATTAGGTTATTCAATAGGCTACTCATTTTGTGACTACTGTAAACCAATTGGGGATTAGTAGGTGGACATGAATCATTTAATCACATACCTCTATGGTACGTCATAGCGCCATGTCTCGAATCAAGCAGAGGTTGAACTCCGCCAACCCAGCCGACGCCCAACAATCCCCCTCCCAGCACCCGCCGCAACCTTTGAACACCAAGCCCAGCTGCGCAGTATGCCTGACTCGTTTTTTAGCCTACGCGCCCATCATCCCCTCCTGAGATTGGACTTGGCCCGACCTGCGCCCACATCCCATCTAGGACTGGACTCAGCTTTCGCCTCGCCATCGATTCGAACTCGGGGGCTGAACTCCGTCAACCCAGCCAACGCCCAACAATCCCCCTCCCATCACATGCCGCAACCTTTGAACACCAAGCCTAGGTGTACAGCATGCCTGACTCGGTCCTTAGCCTACGTGCTCATCATCCCCTCCCGAGACTTGACTTGGCCTGACCTGCGCCCACATCCCATCTAGGACTGGACTTGGCTTTCACCTCGCCATCGATTCGAACCCGTGACTCGACTCTGATACCAATCGATGGATCTTAGCGTTGCATTATGCTTACTTCCCAGGGGTCACCCATCCAATGATTGATGTAAGTCAAGCACGCTTAACCACAGAGTTCTTTAGCTATTTGGTTGTCATATCCAACTTAAAACGAATTGGTGATAAGTAGGTGGACATCAACTATTTAACCACATCCTTCCATGGTAACCACAACGCCACGTTTTGAATCGAGCAAAGGCTGAACTCGATTAACCCAACCCACACCCAACAATTTGAAATAAAAGAATGAAAAACCTAACCACACAAAAATAGTCACATCAGGAAGTGACAAAAATTGTATACTTCTCCCAAAAGGGATGGGAAGCATTTCCCATTTCGATATGTATCATCATACCAAAAATTAAAAATAATAATAAGATAAAGAGTTAATTCCAACGGTGATTCCTTGTCTTTAGTGATAATTTCAAAATTTAGTCCTAGACTATTATTTTCACCATTTAACACTCCAGATCTGGAGTGTTAAATGACAAAAATGATAGTTTGGAACTAAATTTGAAATCACTACCAAAGACAAAGGATATCCGCTAGAATTAACTCTAAATAAAATAGGGTGAGTAATTTCAAAAGAAAAACCCATTCTTCCTTTTTAAGGAAGTGACATCAAATTAACGTAGGAGGCACTGCAAAATTTTATGTTTATACATGGATAAATGAGTTTAGCCTCTACTTCGAACGTAACATCTCAAAAAAGAAAATCTTTTGTTGCATCTCAAAAAGAAAATATTTTGTTAAGAGCAACCAAGTGATTACGCAAAAATTACTCATTAAATATATTGTTAAGAGCA